CAAGCAGCCAACTCAAATGATCAGTTTTCACATCAAGCTACAGTATTTCTGGAGCAGTGATTAGCATCAGGATGGAATCGATAATGCTATAAGAGTAATGAGGCACAAAATCGCTCCTCTTTTTTATACAAAAGATTATGAAAGGAATAAAAAAATGGAAATTGTAAGCATATTTAATTGTTCAATTGAGTTAAAAGATGTTAAAGGTATTAAGAATAAGCAACTATTTTTCAATTGACGAAGCATCAGATGTTATTTATTCTTTCACCCAGAAAACAGAGACCAGTTGTTTGGATGTCAGCTATCGCAAAATCATTGTGTGAAAGTTAAAATGCTCCCTGGAAAAGCACAGTTCAATTAAGCATAGCCTGCACAGATCAGTCAGAGAAGGTCATACTTTACTGACACACAGGAGTACTGTGAAGACGTTACTGCCATGACTGATGAAAGGAATTCAGTAGATTTATGATACCCTGATTTGACAATGCCCTTCCCTCAGAAATTAATGACTACAGGACAGCATTAGGACATAAGGAGTAAATGGAACTGTTAGGTAAAAATAAGACCTGGGGAAAAAAAATGCATTTGAAAGCTTGTTTTTTCAAGTTGTTTTGGGAGGATTTATGTAGGTTTAAATCAAACTTCTAGTATCCCCATATTATTTGGTTTGGGACAAGGATACTAATTCTTTCTTTATTTGATTCTTTCTTTAAATGGCAAGTAAATTTCAGGAAGATTGCAATATCTAGAGGGATCAGTAAATGACCAAATTGAGTCTATACAGAAGTAAACCTGTGTCAGGATATGTGTGCATACACCTTGTGTAGTAACACCATTGAGGAATGAGGAGGGGTGAAACATCCCTGAGCAGTGTCCTGCAGTGTTTTGCCAAGGCCAAGGCATCAGGATCTCACACTATCCAAACCATGAAACACAATGAAAATATGGACCTGTATCTGTTATTTAAGATGCTTAATACAGCTGGGCAACCACTTGCCATGGAAAAATAATACTGTGTTGTCCCATGCTGAAACATGAGATCTTTACCAAGTCTTTGGACAAATTCAAGTATAAATTATCTGGTGCATACCATTCAGCAGCTTTTTAAATGCCTGCCTGGAAGATACGGATGTGTAAAATTATTTTTCATAAATTCTATCAGTGCCTCTAATGCAACAAAAAACTTCCCTATACAAATATTAAGCTACCCAATACAACAAGAGGGGATTTAGTATAGAACTTTAAGAATATCTGCTATCAGAGAGAAGTTATCATCTTCTATGAATTGCAGCAAGGTTTCAGAATACTTGGTGAAGAGCTCTAACAAATACACACTAGAAGTTCTTTTAAGATTTCCCTGTAGTTGAACCTTGTGTTATTACTGAAGTTATTTAAGTTACATAAAAATAAAGTTGATTTTTCTCCTAGAAAAGATTTGAGATGGTATAAAGTAAGCAGAATTACGAAAAAGACTGTCAAAGACAAAATCAAATTGGGCCAGAGAATCAGAAATTATAAGTGCAAGAGATGAGCTTGAAATTAGGATAAGGGATAACTAAAGGTTGGATAAAACATACCTATATGCAATGGTGGGACATTATCAAAATATTCTTAGGATCAAGTAAAACTTTTTTTTTCCTGAATTTTTTTTTCCCTTGATCTAGCCCGAAGGTAATTTATTTTCCTACCTTGAGAAAAGTGTTTTCTACAATGTAGACAACCTGATCTCTTCTGGTTCATATCTTAAAAGATGCCATGGTCCTTGGAGCTTTCAGCCCCACTGTAGGTACTGTACATGCACAGGGATCCTGCCCCAGTGAACCCAAGACTCCAGATCCCAACATACCTTACTCTGCTTCACAGCGTGTCATATGTAAACACTGCCCAGTACCCTGAACCCACTACATCTGAGATTTCCTGGTGGCAGTCTGATCCTACTTGGTTAGTGAAAGTGCTGTAGGAGCTGAAGGAACTAGAGCAGGTGGAGTGACATCCCTATCTGATTATTTCTGAGCAATGGGAAGGGTGTAGTTCAGGTATGGGCGAGCACAGCAGCTCATTATCATTTTAACCAAGCCATTGTTATGTAAAGGTTTTAAAACAGAACCAAGTTACCATGGAAACTGATTGAAGCAAAGACTCACCGTAAATTCTTTTCTAGACAATGATAACAGGACTGACAGGTGGGCTGTAAAAGGAAAAGGAGTGCAATATAGAGTTAGGCACGTTGGTCTGTTTTCCCTTTCTAAAAGCAAGAGAGAGCATTTATAGCTCTGCTTTATCTCTACTATTTTCTGCAGTGATATATGGAACATATTTTAAAAGAAGCTCCGACCTAAATGAACCTTTTATTTTGTCATAATCCTATTTGCAAGGGGATGTTGGTGCTCTAGAGAAAAGAGCTGAAGGGCAGGGCACTCCACTTATTTTCCCAAATTATTATGTCTTTCCAGAATCATCAGGGAGGAAGAGCCATCACTCAGGAAACACATTTGCATAAAGTGCCCTTTCCCAGCAGTGTTTATATTGTGGTCCTGAAATATGCTCTAGGTACATTTACATCTCAGCACAGCACTCCCCTTGTACAATATGAAAGAAGGTAACAATGGCATTGTCATTTTAGTGAAGAAATACCCCTTTTCCCTTTCCCATAAATTTGAAAATATACCTATTTTCTACAATCCTATTCAAAGTCAAAATGATTTGGCTCTGTAAATATCTTTCTAAGTCTGATGGATGATGGTAAGAATAACAGGGATTAGAGTACACAGTCCCCAAAACACAGTGCCAGAGTTTTAAAAAGGGAAGTTGGCAGAATGAACAGCAGAGCTTGTACCTTTTCCACTTGGAATAGTTAACTGTCAGCACTGGAAAAGATTTCAGCATATGAATATGCAACATTTTTTTAATTCTGTGCCGGATGTTTCTACCTGCGGTGCTTAATTTCAGAATCTTGTGTTATCATTAGAGAAAAACAATCTCTTTTGCGATATAATTTTCTACCAAAAGGAAGGCAAAAGGGGCAGATTCTTCCTTGAATTCATCCTAGTATTTTCCTAGCCCAAAGTTTCTTCTTCTTCTTGGTTCCAGCTTCCAGCTGGAGCTGTATTTGTACATGCCCTCCTGGCATAAGCCATAAAGCAATTTTCTTCCAGATTTTAAGAGGTCAGATGTCGTCAACAGACATAGTTGGTCCCAGTACACTAGAATCACAACAGATAGTCACCTTTTCCAGCATGTTTGCCTTCCAGATAAAAGTAATGGCAACAGCTGGTTTTGTAGTCAAAAGTAAATATACTTCTCACCTTCAGTGTGTGCCTTCCTCAGCACCGTGGGGGTGGCGACATGACAGATGGTTCCTGCTAAGTAATCAGAGATAAAATGGTATTTGGTGCATGGCATAAATTTCCAGGCAAATAAGAATGCTTTTCATTTAATATTGTGAAAAGCTGGATACCTTAATAAAATGTGGCAAGCTGTAAGGAAACTCACATGTTAAAGTAATATGAAGTATGATGATGAGACTAATCACAGAACTGCTATAAATGATGCACAAGCTAACTGTCACTTGTCAGAAGTGAAGTTTTATAACTCTTTATTACATGTAAAGCTTTTTGGTAATGAGACAAAGGGAAACATGAACTCAAATTCTGCTGGTTTTAGGCTGATTACATCTTTTTTAGGGCTCTGTCCACTGTACAATATTTGAGTGTCCCTGGCTGCCAGTCCAGGCTCAGTTGTCAGTCATGCTTGGGCAGAGGTTTGTGCAGTCCTTGACACTGGACACTCAAGGACTCCTTGCATTAAGAGGTAGAACCATGTAAAGGAGAAACCATTTTAAGTATTTCTATGCTTTTTGTCTTCATTCTGACATAAATCCTCCTGGAAAAGGGTCAACAAATACGGTAGTTGTTTTCCTCAAGCAAATAAATTCCTCATGAAGGTAAAATTTATTTCAAATATATTCTTTTAATTCTATAAAGGGTGTCCCAATAGTTGATAGTTTAATACAATTAGAATTCCTTGGCACCATTCTATGTTCCCAAATTGTAACTATTTTTCATATCTACTTCTTTGACAAAAATGTGTCATTTCAAGTAATCATCATCAGATTCCAGATACAAGTGTTTATTTTGGGCTTAATTAAGGACGTTAGAGGTTTAGAAATAAGAATGTTGGTAATAGATGAAGTTCATAACCTAGGACAATACAATTTTAATTTACAAATTCTTGCCTAAAGGCATGATTATTAAAAAGGAAAAGTGGGGAAAAGAGGCACAAGAGATGGAGAAGGGATTGTTAGGAACCGGAAAAAGCCAAAATAAAAATTCAGGAAGTGGGGGCAGACACCCAAAAAAAACCCCAAAAAACCAACCAACAAAACAACAACAACAAAACAAAACAAAACACAACCAACCAAAAAGTGATAAAACAGAAAAGGGATCAGGCAAACCTCCTTAAAACTGCAATGGACAAAATTACCATTTACAATGCAAGGATAAGTCTTCCGTGCCCGATTAGAATTCTGTGAAAATTGTTGAACCTTGCAGAGGTGTCTTAGATAGCCAGCTGGTTGTAAACTTCAAGATCAGATCTGAAAGAAAAGAGATCAGTGCTGTAACTAAACTAGTCTGTGACACATCCAGGTGTAACTGGTCATTCTAAAGGTGTTGCTTGGACTTACAGAGGACAACTTGCCAAACACTGGTGATTTGTGTTTCTCTTGAGCCCACATGTTTTGTGTTGCAAGAGACATATTATTTATATATGTTTGTGTTGCCACAGTTTATGCAGAAAAAATGTATATAAGTAGATTCTGTGCATGAATCTAAGTGGTTAGCAATATAAAAATGTCAGTATTCACATCTGCAAACTTACTACTTTAGTACTTGACCCCAAGTCTCTAATTGTTCTATCTCTGTTTTCATGGAAGACAGAAAGAAAAGTAATAAAAGTCTTTCATTTACCCACATGTAACTCATGGATATTTGTCAATGCAGGTTTATCAATATAGAGTCCACATTGGTTTCACATGTGACAAGGAGGCAAGCAAACAGTGGAGAACGGCAGTACATGTGATGCAGATAAGCAAGAAAGAAAAATTAAGAACAAAAAGACAGAGCAGTTACTAAAAAGCAGGTAAGTAATTCAGATGATTCTGTGTAAAGTGTAAAATGTAAAAAGAATTGTTTCAACTAGTGTATGTTGATCTTGCCCTTCCTAGTATTTCTGAGAATTACTGCTGTATGTGTCTGTGGACATACCTACACGCAGACATACACATACCCTACTTACACCCACTCACACAAGGAATTTACTTTTTGAAAAAATTGCTGTTACCCTCAGTGAAAATATTTACTATACTGGTATTTGGCATTTCTCTTCATAAAATCCATTTTCTGTATTTCATTTTATTTCCTTTACATAAAACATTGTACTATTTCTACAGGAAGCCAGACAAGTAATATTTTGACAGGGGAGTAAAAGAATGCTGTGCTATGTGTGTTACTGTTCCTTCTCGACAGTTCTAAGTTTTCAAAACTTATAATGTAGATTCTGTCCTTGAACCGATCTCTTGGGCATTACAAGCACACTGCAGAAATTGAATTTTCACCTTTAACAGAAGGTGGAAAGAAAATCATAGCTAAACATTACATATCAATCTGCTTAATCCTTACCTCTCCTTTCCACTCACAAAACTAACACTAAGTTGAGATGCTGGTATAGCAACACACATGAAGTATTAATAAATAGTTACTTATAGGTTTTTGCATTCCTGAGTAACACCATCACCTTATCACATCCATTTAGTTTATCCACAAAACAGAAATCCTTTTAGAGTTTGGCCTTGTAGAAGAGCTTTAACCCATCTACAAAATGTTATGCTTATATTTAACTTCTGTAGAACAACATCTAATGCTTCCAGACAGCATTTTTCAGAAGAACTGACTCCATATCTGTGGAAATTCACTACTGAAATAACACATTCTATGAATTCTTAAGAGCTCTAAAGACATTAAAAACCAACCAAACGAAAATCCTCAAAAGTCATTATTACTCTTGCGTCATACTGATTATACCTTGCACAATTCCTGATAATGCAGTATTGTGTTCATGATAACTTTGTGCAGTTTGGTAAGACTGGCACACACTGAGACATTCTGTCTATCCCTTTGTACGTTGCTGATTGATAACTGCTGCATGTATGCAGAGTATCACAAGGATGCCTCTAATGGGAGAAGCAGCATCCTACAGCTGGAGTTTCTCTAGGACATGCAATATTCATCAGTTACAAACTTGGGAATGTCATATTGTAAAAGCTACGTGATAAAAGACGCTGTGTGGTGTTACAGCTGATTCCATTTGCCATATGTCATGTTATTATTTTGTATTACCTTGGGGAGTGCATTAAAAGTGAAAGAACAGAACACACTCAAGGTATATGGAATAATAAGGGCAAATTGCATAGTTCTTAATTATATCAGTACAGACTGTAAGTGAAATGGAGATGGAACTAAACATGAGAGTTGAAAGTGCATTATACTGCTTCCCAGCTCCTGAAAAGTAATGAACTCTATCAGGAATATTTAAACAGAAAGAAATTGCCAGTCACCATATGTAAAAGCCTACAGACAACCTCAAAGCAGGTTGACTCAAAAGTCAGCAAATGCTATGTTTAATGCTACATACATTCCCAAAATATGGGTTTACATCAAAAATAGTTTTACATGGGATAGGCTGGAGAAAACATTTAATCAGTAATCTCTAAATGAGAGCCCATATGCTCAGCTATAATAAAACCATGACATGAATTACTGGAACAATAAAGGGAGGGTATTTGCTGAAAACAGCTAAAGTAAAAGCATAACAATTAGTTGTGTCCGTTTGATACCGGGTAAGTGAGCTGTCCACAGGGCCTAAGAAATTTCAAAACAAGCAGAAACTCCAAAGTTAAAAAGGCTTTCTCTTTGCAATATATCAAAATTAACAAGCAGATTGTTATGAATGTGGCCAAAACTTAAGCAAGATTTGAGGAAAGACTCTTCAGTGAAAAAATACTTCGTATTTTACATGGTAGTATTTGTCTGCCAACTCCATTCTTTGCATGCCAATAAATTGAGCTTTACCCCTCTCTATCCTGGAGTGCCATCTTTGCAGCTCTTATCTGACTCTGAACCAAAATTCGGCCAAGGTTAGATCATTCATTGGGAGATATTATTCAGTCACCACTTAAATTTTAAATGACAAATGTTGTGATACCAAATAGCATAAACATATGGGCCTGCTTTTTTTTGCACTAGTTTGGCTCTAAATGCCATAGTCCATTAGATGGGGCATTTTAAGTTACAGGAATAGGACATTTTCAAATTATTCACGATAATTGTGCAATATTTCAGATGACATCCTCAAAACTATTCAACTGTTCAGTTTGAGCAGCCAAAAAGTAGATCACTCCCATTAGCCAGATCTTTAGCAGGAATAAATCAGATAAAATTCTAGTAATTCTCAGTATTTCCACTTGCACTTTGCTTTCCTATTAGTTTTTACCAGCTTTTAAAAAGATTTTTTTTTTTTTGGTAAGTCATTCAAGTGTCTCACGGTCATTTAAAGCTAACAGAACCTCACAGGAAAGAGAATAGAGGATCATGGCTATATGGCCCTTGTAAAGCTTGCATTCCCTACCAAAACCAGTGCAGTTTACCAGTATCAAGATTTGACACTGTACTGTTTACATTTGTAAATACTCCCTATCCAGTGATGTCAGGAGGAACTGCAACTACTCTGCAAATTACTGCATCCATTTTCATTTCTCAGCTAATGTGAACACCAACTCCTAACACATTCTCCACTGTATTATCAAGATCTATGAAGTTTTCACACATTTCAGTCTGTGTGCCACTCAAGCTTCTGTTCCAGCCATAAAATAGGCTGATGGCAAAAATGACTGATGTCACTAAATGAGGGTTATTATTCAGTGAGAGATAAGGAAAGAAAGGGAGGGAGAGAGGGAGGGGAAAAGCCAGTTCTGACTATTGTACTCAAGGGTGTTCTTCCTTTTTAAGTGAGCTGGAATCTTGAATATGAGTTAACTAACAGCTCAAGTTTAAAGATTCAGTGTTGTCAACATACTTGGTAAATTAGCAAACATTTGTCTATTATTATCTTCTTTAAAGGAAAGTTGTTTATTATTACAAGATAGAGTAATATTTGTAGAATGTATTCAATTCCATGCTAATGAAAGATAACCAGTGTTCGACAGAATCAGTGTTTACCTTACCATAATAAATTGAGAATTTACAACTACATTTTAAATACTTTGATTTCTGCTATTCTGATAAGCTCTGTTACCCTGACAACAAGCATAAATGAATATGTTAGGTCATGATAAATTTTCAGTGCAGCAGTTTTAAATTGGTACTGGAAAATAACTTTTTTTAAAATACTTAGTAATTTCTGCTGAAAAGATTGAAATATTTAATTAAATATGGGAAATGGAATGTCAATATGAATTTTAAAAACTAAAATCTCATCATAGCATAGTAATTATTTCTACTATTATTTTTTACTAAATTCAAGTTTACCATTCAAGCTTCACACTGAACAACGCAAGAAAAACAAAGTTTTTTTCTGCTAGTTCACTTCTTTTAGGCAGTTAATTTTTTTATTAATTGATCATAAGAGTATTATAGCATAATATTGATTAATTTAGATGTGTACACTTTTAAAGTCTTCAATTAGTTTAAGAAAATTCAGATAAGCCAAAAATTTTCTATGCTTCAGAGGTAGAATGTTGAATTACATCTAGCAGGAAAATCAGGAGTATTTTTATCCAACCATAGTTTATTAGTAACCAGGCTTGAACAGTGTCCGTATTTTAAGAAAATTTCAGAGAGAAAAGATATGATCTCTAAGACATGATCTATGCAAGAGTACATTGTACACTATAAAACCATATTGTTGATTACATAACCCCCATTTTTAGAGACAATGCAGTATTTAAAAACTTGGAAAACTGGTTATATAAACTGGAATAATAAATTTTTAGTATGGTCAACCTCTGATTTTCACTTCCGGAGGCACTACTATATTCAATTTTATAAATACACCTCTACTCAAAACTTGAAAAATAAACAGCTGCTCCATGTTTTAGAGGTGCCGAAGACCTGGTTAAATGCAATTTATGTACATTTTAGGGTTTCTTTTGATATATATTCAACTGTCAATTCTCATATGTTTCTTGTAAAAAGATACTCTGCTGGATATTTGCAGTACATTATGAACAGATGTTATACCTGCTCTGCTGATTCCTGTTAGAGTTCTTATATCTTTACTGGATTATGAAGTGTTGATTAAACTGTAAGTGAAAACACAGTGTAGTAAACAAAATATATTAGGATTTCAGTGCTTTTTCTAAAAAAACATGTTTCATAGCAGACTGTGGACCAGTGTTTCCAAATTCTTCCTTATTCTTCTTCCTTATTCTGCTTCTAAAATGTTTCCTTATTCTAAATCTAAGTCTTTTTATGCCAGTAAAAGCTGACAGACTCTCAAGGTAAACAACTGACAAAGTCTCCTGAGCACCCAGCATGATCTGTATTTTCTGCAGTTCTGGAAAAAACCTCAATATCATTTGAGAGTTTTAAGGACATGATATGCCCTAATAATGATATGTCCTTAGTAGTCCAACAATGTTATTTATTGTTTTCAGGGGAAATTTTCAGAAAGCAGATTCCATTTTGCAAGTGAGGCTTTTTAACTGCCATGCCTACATTGCACATTTGGCCAGTCCATTCACTAGCACTGAACAGATCCCTATCCTTTTATTCCCAAAGATGTACGTGTATATTTTTGATATACTGTGTATGTTCAAAGGAAGGTAATTATTTGAAGTAAACACAGAATATGAAAAATGAACAAGAAGAAAAGTATAGAAATGTTTTCTGAGTGAGGCTCTACCACCCTTGTTTACACCCTCATCTCCAAGAACACCTCCTGATCAAGCTGCATCCTAAAAGCAACATTAAGTGCTTTCCTGGAACAGATTACTGAACTGCATGCTCAGATGATGACTGTAATTTCTTATTTTTAAAGGCAGTGACTGCAATAACATCATGCTAGCAACATTTGTGTTGTAAATT